AACCTCTCCGGAATGGGGGGAGCGGGGCAGGACGGGCGGCACCATCATGGGCGGGGGAGGGGACAGGGACGGGCCTGGGACAGGGCTGTGTGGGGCCGGGACAGGGCTGGGGATGGGGCTGTTAGGTGAGGACTGGCCTGGGAACAGGGCTGGGGCAGGAGCAGGCCATGGTGCCTCAAGAGCTTCCTGTTGAACCGTACCTAAGGTGTCTTCCACGGCCCCACACAGAGCCAAGAGGCAGGCAGACAGGTCAGCTATGCCTGGTGTCATGGTTGTCAGTGCCCTGCCCGCCCGTCTGCTGTAGTGCCCCTGGCACAAGCAGACACAGGGGCTTTCACATGAGTTACATTACCTACGAGTTATGTTACCTACCATACCTGGTATGTAAATGGACCTATGTACTACCAAAGGGTGCTGTTTCGTGACACACTTCATGCAGCCAACCCTGGATTGCTGCAGGACGGCTGTACCAGTGGTCTTCCTGTTGACCTTGACAAATCATGGGGTCAGGCTCATGATAATGCCACAAGCATCAGCTGGTGGGATGTTTCATGGTTACAAATGGGCAAGGAGGGCATCTCACCGTGGCCAACGGGCAAATGAGTCCACACGTAAGCCCCGTTCCTCAGTTGTGGTCTGTGAGTTGAAAACATCCGAGAATCCCTCAGCTAGCTTCTGTTTTCTGCCTGCTTCCATGTGGGGAACCACTGATGGAAGAAAACCCAAGGAACTCATTTGCAGAATATGAGAGTTGGCTTGGGGTACTCATAAAAGGCTGTCTGGCAACCAGATACCTCTCAAGGAGCCAAGGCCAGGTTATGCACATGTCTGTAATTTAGTCATTGCTTAATAATACATGAATGCTAATCTGCAACCTTCCAAATAGTCTCTTAATATAAATTCACAACGAACATTGCTGGGATCATTTTCAAAGAAAAGAGGTTGAATAAAAGTCATCAAGGGATACTCTCCGAGGCTTTGAGGATGTGCTGACTGCTTTAATGATAGGCAAGTGAGCCAGAAAGGCTCTCTGCCAGGGATTTCTCTGCAATCTGGCTTTTGAGGGCTAATATCCTTGAACAAGACTACCTGGTGTCAACTGCTTTTAACCACAGCCTCCTGCCTACCAAATGAATACACCAAACATTGCCATGCTCAGTAAGTGTGGGGAGGCAAAGCAGATGAAACCCCAGGAGTGGCACGCGTGGCTGGGCTTTGTCCACCGGCCCCACAGCTCCTGCACAAAGCATCTCACAACCAGGCAGGTTTGTCCTGGGGCTGGGGTCGGGATGGGCTCAGTTGAGAATGGTGCTGGCTCTGTTGGCTGCAGCAGTGGCTCTAAAGCACCCTGCGATAAGCAAGGGACTCAGTGTTGCTGCTTTTCCTGTGTTGTTTCCTGGCCATGTCCTACACCACAGACCTCCAGGCCAGCCCAAATACCTGTGTCCCCATGGCAGGAGATTTGGGAAATACTTGGGCGCTTTCCATGGGAGCTGGGCAGCACCTGGAGCTCTGGACTGGCTCCTTCCTTGCCTGCAGCACTGCTCGTCTCTAGCCCAGTGTGCCTGCAGCATCTCACCAACAGTTCCCTCTCCTGGGTCCTGGATGGGGTTTCCAGCCCAAATTGTAGGGGGGATTGCTCGTCTTCTGGCCCTCCGCCCACCTGGCAGCCAGCGGCTCAGCACCGACACTTGCCTGCCTGACCCCAGGGGCTACAAGCCTGGGAGATGGCCGAGCAGCAGGGAAAGTGGCTGGGCCCCGGCGCTGGACCTGACCTCCTGGACGTCCATCTGCATATTCAGAAGTCCTTCCCCGCCGGTTGGCTGCCTCCGGCCTCCCCACTCCCTCTTTAAAGGACCTGAGCGCAGCGGGAGGACGCTGCGCTGCCTCTGCGACATCCCGAGCCCCCCGGCTGCCTGCCCTGGGGGCGCCGCGCTCCCTGCGCCCTGGAGCCAAGGTGAGTGGGACAGAAAGGTGCGAAAGGCTCGGGTTGGACACCTCTTGCA